CCCTCTGGCATCCCAAGCGAGTTCTTAACCATCGCGCCACTCGGCCGGCCCAATAAGTGATTTTTTAAAATGACCAAACAAGAAATGAATGATTGTCAAGTGTGTGGAATTAAAGTGAGTTAGCCTTATGAAGTTTTGTATAAGTTGAAAAATTATAGACCTTAGTGCCTATATAATATTAGAAGCAGGGTTTTAGGACCCCATTAAAAAGCCATAGAGGCACTGCAGGTCAGCTATTCAGTTTGTTTCTTCTTTCAATGATCAGATTAAATCTCTTAATAATTGAAAATATTTTACTGTAGAACATCAGCATACATATTGCAGTGAGCTAAGACTTGAGAAATTCATGTGTTGCTCACATTGTTGATAGTTTCATGTCTGTGTTTTGCTTATGTGGCTAATTTCCTGTATATTAGAATGGCTTTTCCTATCTGTAATAGACAGATAGGATTGTTTTATCAGTTAGAATATTTGCTACCTTGGATCCACCGTAACTATTTTTTCTCTCTCTGTTTCTTTCTGAGTGATTTGGAGTATACCAATTTTCTAATAATGGGCAACTGTATAATTGTAGAAAAGTCCTCCTTGCACCAAGTGTTGTGGCTTCTGCTCTAAATTATGAGTAATGAAACCAGATGGTGGATGCTTTACCTTAATTTAGCATGACAGTATGTTAGTGCTAAAAATTCATATGCCTTAAATATGCAGCCCAACTAAATCTATACTTTTACTCTTTCTCTTCCATTTCTTTCATTTGGACAATGTGTTTTGGGGATATTGAGCATGAAAATGAGACCTTGAAGTACATTGAATATATGGCTTTGAAAACAGTCATTTTATGAGATAGCTATAGTGTTCTACTTGTTGGAAGATATTATCTTTATGCTTCAGTTTCCTCATCTATAAAGTAGAAATGCTAATACCCACTCTACTTCTTCCAAGTGCTATTATAAAAAATCAGATGTGAAAATTCAGTGTAAAGCACTATATAAATATAAAACAGCAGTGTTAACATTTTTTAACTTGAACATTAATTCCATGAGACCAACAATATTAGCATCATAGAACACCACTGCTAAAAGGAAGCAAAATTTTTTTATAGCTCTTATGTCTCTTGTATTTTTTCTGACTCTTTTTTGTACCATTCATGTTATAAGTCAGCATTCAGGGATGACCCTTTACCTGCAGCCTGTGATCTCATCCTGTCTGCAGAAGATTGAACTGCCATCTGCTGTGAGGGTCTCCTACCTCTCTGCTCCCCATCACACAGTCTCTGCTTACCCTCCTTTTTCTCTAAATGTACCATATTTCCCCATGTATAAGACGCACCTTTTTTCAAAAAATTTGGGGTCTAAAAACTGGGTGCGTCTTATACAGTGCTTGTAGGTTTTTTTTACTTGCATTTCCCGCTTTTTTTGAATTTCGCTTTTTTATGATGAATAAAACTTGAGTTCAATAACTTTATGTAATACATTTTTTTTTTCAAAATTTGGGCCCTCACATTAAGGTGCATCTTATACATGGGGCATCTTTTACATGGGAAAATACAGTAGCTCTGAGTAAGCCATCCCTGTCCACTTAACCAGCAATGGGTCCTACTTCCTTTTGGTCTTGTTTGTTGATAACCATATGCCTCCTTTGCACTTTCAATCTTTTCCCCCACTAATGCCTCCTCTGTCAACCAAAGCGCTCAGGTCTTTCCCAGTATTTAAAGAGAGAGGGAGGCAGGAGGGTATAGAAGAGAGAGAATGTGTGGTAGAGTTGAGAATAATCTAGATATTCTCCACCCACTACCTCTTTACCCAATTATTTCTTAGTCTCTTTTAAATTGGTTTTTACTCCTCTCCATTCCTACAGATCTGCTCTCTGAAAAGTCAGCTGGGACCTTTCCCCAAACCCAGTTGCTTTCTCTTACTAGTAATTACCCTTCTCGACTTTTTACGACTTTTCCCCTGACTTCTTTTACCTTCTATCTTTTAATTGCTTCTCTTTTTACCCCCTTATGACACCAAAGTGTGAACATTGCCCCAAAGTTAGTGCCTACTACACATTATTTTTTCAAAAATATTAATCGATGTAAATTAATTTATTTTTAGTCTTTTTTCCTCTACATTTTTTTCTGTTGTGAGACTCATTTACTCCTATAGCTTCAGCTAAAACATTTGTGTGAGTTCTTCCATAACATCTCTAAGTCCCTACAGCAGCTATAATTTTTCTTCCCAAATTCTTAGATCTCTCTGGAGCGACTGGTTTCCCAAACCTAATACAGTAAAACCTTGGATTGTGAGTAACGTGATTTGCAAGTGTTCCGCAAGATGAGCAAACATTTCTAATACATTTTAATGTGGTAAACAGTGATGTCTTGAAATACGAGTAATTTGTTTCCAGAACGAATTATGCTCACAAACCAAGGTATTACTGTGTAGCCAGAAGACATGCTCTACCATTTGGTACCATCATTCTTTCTGTTCTCCCAGATCTGTAGCCCCAGATTTATCTTTGATTCCTGCCTCATCCATGTGTACACAGTTGCCAAATCTTAGAGATTCTGTGTATTATTTCTCGTATCTATTTCTTTTCCTTTCACCACCATTCTAAATAGATCATCTCTTCATTACCTCACTCATAGGCCATTGCTGTTGGTCATTCTCAGATGCCTCCCCAACACCAATCTATACAGCTGGTAATGTGCACATTACCTCTAATGAAGCTCCATTGGTAATGTTGAGTTCCGTAAACCCCTCAGGCTTGCATGGCAAACCTACCTTTCCAGTTTTAACCCCTTTTGTTTTGTGTGTGTGCTAATCCCAATGGACTATTTGTGGTTCTCAATATGCTGTATGTTTTCCCATTTCTATTCCTTTGTTTTTTCTTTTATGCCATTTTTCTTACTATAGAAAATACAAGCTGAGGAGAAAGTGGCCCCAGATCAGAGGGTGCTCCCTTCACTTCTCCTAGTTGAGAATGACTGTATAGAATAAAAAATGTTACTGATGAGAGGGTATTACTCATGTGAATGGTGTAGAGACAGTCAAAGGCTTAGAACCGCTGTTAAATTGTTTTATGTTCCTGGAGTTTTTGTCATTCAACACCAGGCCCCAGCATAGCCATAAGACACAAAACTATAGTCATACATTCTGGTGTCGTGTTTGTTTGTATTATTGATTAGGAAATGTTCTTATTTAAGATCAGATATCGTCAGTAAAGACCAAAAAAAAATTATCTTGTTCTTCAGTTACAAATATTTTGATAGGCAAGCATATTTTTATTTGTAGATGTTTGTTTCTGAAATGTATTTCATAGAGAAATATTTTGAGTCTAATCCTTTTCATGAAATAATTCTTTTGCCCCAAATAATTGGGGATAAAGGATATTTGGCATGTGGTCTGAGATAGATCGTGGATAAGAGTGAAAGGAACTATTTTCTGAATGGTTTTCTGCCCTATTTGAGATACAGGAAACAAATTTTACTTGTGTTTTTACAAGTATTTGTGTATGTTGCAATTATATAACTTCCGTGAATATCATAGAATATTGGTTTCTTACTCTGACAGTTCAAAGCCTTGCCTCTTGCAGTTTACATCTTTCCTAGTTTAGTTCATATTTTAAGTTCTCCAGAACAGAATATCATTTCACTTCAATTGAAATCTTTAAATAAAAGTGAATGCCATTAAGCAAGCTTTCTTATTGAAGTAGGTGTAATCTAGTAGGGAAGATTTGTTTAACTGTTTAGACTAATTTTTAACTTACAAAGAAGTATCAGTTTGCTGGTAATGTACTTTTGTTTTAAAGCGCAATGTTAAGTGTGAGCCTCAGATTTTTTAAATCAAATTTGTTAGATGACTTGAAGGCAAGATAGTCATTAAATTGTCCTTGGTTGGTAATTCTAATTGAAAATATTTCATGCAAATACCTTGCCTTGTGAGGTTGAAAATTAGCCTTGAATTTTTGTTGATTTGAAAGCACAGTCTGGGTTGACAAACTTTATATATCACTTGCCCTGTTTTATAGTTTTAAATTTCAAACCTTTTTACAATGGTTTCCTCTTAGGAACCATATTTGATGCTTGTCATATCAGATCTTTTTTTCTACTTGCTTTTTTCTTCAATCAGCATGAAAATGAACATGCATAATACATTAAAAATCTTTACAGATATATTATTACATATTTTTGTTTGTATTATTTAGAGCTTAATAAGAATTTCCAGGATCTTTTATTTATTATTTGTAATGAAATATATTCAATAGAAATCAGTTTCTTAACCCTGTGACTTTGTATTTCATTTTGAAAATGTTGATGTGTTGAGGTGTATAATCGAATACCATAGAAACAAAATGGAGATTTGAGGATGATGAATTGATAACTAGGTATTTTTGTAGTGAGATTTTAAGATCAGTTACTGTTGTCCTGATAAAAGTCTAATACAGTCACTCAGCTGTTAAAAACCTAATTCTCTATTTAAAAAATATACAAAAACAAATTGTCTGTGTTTCTGCCTGATCTCTTCTCAAGTACTAACACAATGGAAACAGTGGGTGATCTGTCAATGTGTTTGGTTTGTCAATGATGGTTTTGTATAAATATTGGGAGGGTAAGAAATAAAATTCACAAAGTAAAATATGATTTCATCTGCCTTTTCTCTGCAGCTCCATGGCTCATGCTGCGGTGTGAAATTCTCATTTTACACACTTTGCAGGCGGAGCACATGAATTATGCATTGAGCAAGAAAAATCTCCTGCCTCAAGTCCTATATGCATTTACCCAGGTTCTGTCTCTATTACCAAGATGAATTGCAAATGGAGAAATGTTTGATGGAATAGGGCTCTTAACTTCTTTGTTTAGAATTCAGATTTTTATTTTTATAGTAGATCCTTTAAGTATGAAAATGTTTTGAACTTACTATGGATTTTTTAAAATGAAAAATGAAATATAATATAAGAGAGGAATGCCAAACACATCATGAAGCTTTTTAAAACCTTGATTCAGAATGCAAGGCTTTTTCAATTCAGTAGAAATGACCATTATCTGTTGCTAATGTTGTATTTCTGTCACCGGGTATTTGCTGTTCCCAGAAAGTCAGTGCAAGTCTGTCCATTTTAGAGCCTTTTTTCTTTCTGTTTTAGGCTTTATACCAGTTTCACTCTGTCCTCTGTTGTATGTGACCTGATGTGTGTTTAATAGATATTGTTACAAACTCTTAGCTGTGAAGTAGAAAATACAGTACAGACTTGCCTCCTGCTTTAAGTTTATTTTGATTTGATAGGTTTCTAATTTTTCAGGTGGGAAGGTCACAGTTCATAAAGACAGTCATGCACCATGAGAGCTTACAGGAAGCTACACCCATTGTGCTCAGCATGGCATTTTGATAAGTCACATGGTGATAAGCTCTTTTTGTTACATATTCTTTCTTCACAGGAATGATATTCTAGTTGAGATGGGCATTTTCTTTCTCAACCTGTTCTTGCTACTTGTAATTTTCACATTTCAGCTTCGGAACTAACATTTCTTCTGTTTTTTTTTACCCAAGTCCTAGAAATTGATATTCACTTGAGGTGTGGAGAGAGGGGCAAATGTTCTTAACTAACTAATGACAATTAAAACCCATCTAGATGATTTGTAGTTTTCAATGGCAAAAATAATTATTTTGTGGAAGAAAAGCAAAGCTGATGTTTTCAGTTCGTGTTTTAATGAGTATTGTTGTATGGTCCTTGAAAATATTTTTTCTAAGTATTGGCATAGAGGGAAAAACCAGTACAACTTAAAATCATTTAAAAATGTTATCTAACATATAATTTTGATGTATTGCTCTTGTTCGTGTATGTGCACTGTAGTAACAGCTCTAACACAGTTGTAGACTTTAAATGAGAGTAATATACCTTTTGCTTCAGTGATACCTTCCCGTGGTTGGAGGAAGACTTCAAACATTTGTAATAATTCACATAAACGGTAAACTATAAACTCGTTTGGTAGATTATAAGTTATCTGAGGGCAGGGACTGTGACTGTCTTGGATGTATTACTTGCATTGCTTAGCACAGAATCTGATACATATTAAAAATTCTATATACATCTATGAATGAATGAATGCATACATGAAACCACTTTAGCAAAAACTTAAGATTTGGCCTTTAACTTGGGAAGACTTAATGTAAAAAAGTATAGATTATAAAGATAAGTGACTTTGCCCTAAATACATTTATTTAATACCCTAATCTTTGTTGATAATGCATTTGATTTATCCTTTTTTTTTTTAAGATTACACATATTTTCTGACTCTCTAAGCAAACTGTGAACATACCTCAGGCTTAGGGACACATTTCAAAAATATAGTAGACTAAATAAGCAAATCTGAAGTGGAGGAAGCCCCAATTATATGCAGATATGTTTTGAAATACTTATTCTCCCTAAAGGAAAACAGTAAAGAAAATAAATGAACTTTTTCAACCATAAAGAGCAGGAGCCTGAAAATGTCATCTATAGATTTTAATGAATACCTTTGGCAAAAGAAGTCTGACACAACCCACGGCTGAACTATAAAGTACCTGGTACAATGCCTGTCACAAACTACTAGCAAGGCTAATCTATCATAAGCCATTGACAGTCTCAAAGCAGAGAATATATTGTTTGAGTGTTTCTTTTTCTTAAATCAACTTGTTTAGAAATTATTTTCAAGACTGTTTTATACACTTTCTACCAAAGGGCCAAATTACATTTTTATGTTAGCAAAAAGTTTTCAATTAATTATAAAAAAATAATAATAATAGTTTCCCATTAAGTTTTCTTCTGAAGGTCCTTTCTAATATTTAAACACAAAATATATTAGAATAATTAACAGTTTGCATGGTGGGGAAGAAATACTGTATGCTAACTGAAATAAAAATTTTGATTCAAAAGTATTTTGTGTAACCATACGGAAGCTTTAATTGATTTTCTTTTTCTTGGAAGACTAAACAGAGGAAAAAGGTTTTGTTGAAACGTTAAGGACTCCTTCATAGATTTTTAAAATAGAACATGCAATACATGAAATATTTCTTATTTTATAGGAAAAAGGAAAAAAAACAAAGCAAGATAGAAATCCTGCTACCAAAGATGTTTCCCTTCTAGATCTAGATGATTGTAAGTATTGAAATTTAAATTTTTTCTTCTGTGTTTAGAACTGGTATTTTTTATTTTTATGGTACCATTCATTTACATGTCTCAAAATATATTAACATCTATTATGAAAGATTTATAGATGAATAAGGCAAGAAAATATTAGAAATCAGTTCTATAGTGTCTTTCTCTCATCTTTTTAGCATATCAGTTTTGTATCACCTGAATAATTATAATTCGCCAAATAAAAGTACACCAAATTCATTTTAAGAGTGTTTGCTTTGGTAATTTATACTCACTCGTTTTAGTAAATAAATATCCATATATAACAACGTCTACATTGTTAAATGTTGTTTATGGGGGTTGAGACATCTAACTTAAGGAAATAGGGAATTAGGAAAGTAATTGGAAATGTAAAGAACACCACCATCTTCTGCTTGCCACACTTTTGATAGAAGCAGAAATGTGTACAAAGCTTTTGAGGACAGCGTAACTATACCTATCAATATTTTAACCCCAAAAAAGTCCTTGTCTCAGCAAATCTACTTCTAAGAACTTGGAACTCTACAAATATACTCACCCAAGTGTGCAAAGGTGTATATTCATCATCTCCCCTAAATCCTCCTGCGTAATGAGAGAGATCGTGGAATTGACTTTGTTAGTAGGTAGTTTTTGCACTAGGAGAAGAGTAATAACAAGTAAGATTTCGTAAATATTAAACTGTCATTTTTCAATATAGTTCTTCCATGCTAGAGGTGAGGTATGTTTTTAGATTGTCTTATTCTTATAAACAAAACATAGAGCTGTTCTGTTTATGTTATTTACCTGGTCTGTTTCCATTAGTCATGGCAAATTATTAATATAGAGAAATTAAAATGTACGATATGGAAAAATAATATAGAGAAATTAAAATAAAAGTGGAGCCAAATTTGAATAATTTTTCATCGATGGGCAAAGATTTTAAAGTTTACATAATTTTCACCTATAGGCAAAGATTTTAAAGCAACATCCGTTATTGCTAAGGTTTGGAGAAACAGACATTCTACATATGCTTTTGATAGGAATATAAGTAGATGCAGCTTTTTGGAGTCATCTTAGTAATATCTATCAAAATGTAAATTGCACACACCTTTTGACCTAACAGTTCTTTTCTAGGAATTTAACCTACTGATAAACTAGCAAAATCAGATCTTATTCCATGCTTGTTTTAATGTAATGGCTTAATTTTACACTTAAAGTTCGTATTTCTAGGTTTCTAAGACCTGCAGTGATCTGACTCCTGCTGCCTCTTATCTGCTCAGTTCCCTTGCATCTCTGAAACTTACCAGGCTCATTTCTGCCAAGGAAGGGCCTTTGTTCTTCTGCTCCCCAACTGAGAACATTTCTTCAGATCGATGGCAGGCTGTGTCTTATCTCCCAAATCCCTCCTCAATAGTCACCTTCATTCACACACCTTCACTGATCACTCTTGACTGTTTAATGACATTTCTCACTATCTGAAATTATCTTAAATATTTCTGTTACTTGTTTATTGTGTGTCTCACCCAGTTAAAATACAATTAGAACAAGGAAGGATCCTTCCTTTCCTGTCTTACTCACTGATACTCACCTGGCATATAGTAGACACCCAGTAAATATTTGTTGATTTTAAAAAATATGCAAGGTTATATATAATAATTCCATTGCAGCATTATTTACTACAGCAAAATCTTGAAAATAAAATATCTATCAATAGGGTGATATAACCATTAACAAAAATGGAGCAGATCTTGGGCCGGCCGAGTGGCGCAATGGTTAAGAACTGGCTTGGGACGCCAGAGGGCCCCGGTTCGGATCCCACATATGAGGGCCAGTGACACTGCCCTCTACAGCTAAGATGCTGAACAACAGCTCAACCTGGAGCTGGGCTGCCGTGAGTCGCCGGCGACGGCGTGGGCTGCAGCCCCTGTGGCAGTGGGTTGCCATGGGCTACCGTGTGTAGCCAGCAGCCAGCGTGAGCGGCCAGCAGCCGTGGTGAGCGGCTGTCCAGAAGCCGGCGACTGATGTGCCTCGCCCGGGAAGAGCGCAATGATGGTGCCAACTTGGGCCAGTGAAGCAATGTCCTCCACAACTAGACTGAAGAACAAAACGACAGCAACTTGTCTGTTCCCCTTCCCCCAATTCCCCAATAAAAATCTTAAAAAAAAAACAAAACGGAGCAGATCTTTATGTGCTAATTATGTTGTTATATATCCAAAATATGATAATTAAAAAAAAAATACATGTCTAGCATGATTCCACTTGTTTTTTTTAAAAAAGGAAATAAAAGAGGAGCTATATCCTCCACACAAACACAAACTTGACTGTACGTTATATATTTCTGGAAGGCTACAGAAAAAATAATTAACAATGTTAGCTCCAGCCCCTTTGGAATATAGTACTAAACTAGAAGCGAGGAGAAAAAAAGACTACTTAACATTTTATATCTTTCTCTGACAATAAATATTTTACATACATATGTAACTTTTATGATTTACAACAGTTAAGCACATTTAAAAAGGAATTAAGAGTAAATATTACAAGGTACTAGAGTGCACTAATTACATTTTCTCGTTATATTTGACTCTGGATTTCCTGGCAGCTAAGGTAAAAAGAGAAACCTGTAGAATTATGTAATTTTTATTGTTTGATCCTTTTAAAAAGCATGTTTTTATATGTAGAAACAATGGTTTTCTTAAATGTTAAGTTTTAAGAATTTAAATGTAAGATTTGTTTTATTTGAAGGGAAATTTCATCCCAACATTTATTTTAACTCAATATAGTATATATTTATGTTTGCTTTTAATATCCAAAAACTATTTCTTAAAAAATATTTTATGGAAATGACACTTGAAACTCTCTTTTTAATAAGTCAATTCAGCCCACATTTGCGGATGTCTGTTAAGTGCAAGGTACTTTGCTAGCTGCTAGAACAGATAAATAGAATTTACTCATTCTATTCCAGAGACTGAAATCTAGTTAGGGACCCAGATACCTGAACAAGTAACATTTTCTGTAAGAGATGTAATAGAGGTGCAAAGTGTAGTGAAAAAATGAGGAGGGAAACAAAAAATTAAAAAGCTACAAAGGAAGCTGGCCGAGTGCCGCGTTGGTTAGGATTTGGCTTGGGACGCCACCTCTGAGCAGCAGGGCCCCGGTTCGGATCCCACATGAGGGCCAGTGACGCTGCACCCTCTACAGCTAAGATGGTGAACAACAGCTCGACCTGGAGCTGGCTGCCGTGAGTCACCGATGACGGTGTAGGCTGCAGTGGGGCTGGCCGGCAGTGGGTGTGAGCTTTGGTGAGCTGCTGTCCAATGACCAGCAAGCGACTGCCTCACCCGGGAAGAGCACAATGATAACATCAACATGGGCCAGTGAATCGACGTCCTCCACAACTAGACTGAAGAACAAAAGGACACAACTTGTCTGTTCCCCTTCCCGATTCCCCAATGCTGTTTCCCTCCCCCAATTCCCCAATAAAATCTTAAAAAAAAAAAAAAAGCTACAAAGGCCTTATGGCAGAAGTACGATGTGATCTTACAGATACAGACAAGTAGAGTGTTATGGGAGAAAAGTGTTGTGGATAACGGCTCCTAAAATACTGACTTTATTACATGCTGCTTTTTAGCCTGCAGTAGTTGTTTGTTGCCCATGGCAAGCAGTTTGTTGATCAAACACTAAAAAGTCAATCTCCAGTGGCCTTAGTTCTCAGATTAATTTTGAAGGTGGGGCAGACACATTGCTTATGTTTTATGTAAGAGGCACCTCATAATCCACAGTGATTATGGTACATATCAGGAAAACCGCAATTCCTGAATTTACCTATGTCTTTATTCAGAAAATATTCTTTGAACACTTGCTGTGATCTAGGTAATCTGCTATCTTGTAAAGATTCTAAATGGATACGACATTGTCCCTACCCAAGGGGCCTCTCAGAGTGTAATGGGAGAACCACAGAAATTGGTAACTAGATAACTACATTATAAATGAAATTAAAAAGAGATGCTTTTAGGTATTGGGGTACCTAACTCACCTAGCAGTACCCGGATATAACACTTGACCTGAGTATAAGTAAGAATTAGTCAAGCAGTTGGAGGCAAGAGAAGAGAATAAGGAGAGGAAAGGCATGGAGGAGTGAAAGAGCTTGCCACTGCCTGAAATAATCATTGTTTCTCTAAGGAAGCAGTATAGTTAGCAACCCTAGCAATAGATTGGCTCCACAAAAAAGCATTCTGTGATTTTGAATTGTTTCCTGATATTTCCTTATTGTATCTGTTAAAGGGATGTTATCAGAGTCACAGGTATTAGTCTGGTATGGCCTTAATTAATTGAGTGAGTTAATTTATGTTTCATTTTATTTAAAAAATGAAAAAAGAATGGCTGAACATTTCCACAGTTCCTATAGATTAAGAAATTATATGACTTTTTATGAGGTCAGTTGATAATACATTAGAAAGTATTTATGCTAAGATAATATATGGCCTAACGATAGATTAGGCTTAGAAGTAGCATATTTTATATTTTTGGAAATTAAAATATCTTTTAATACCCTGTGCCATATCATCTCAGTAGGATGATCATAAAGCAGCAGTCATATTCTGGTGGGTTGTTTTTTTTAATATAGGAAATGTAAACCTATATAATTACAATTTTAGTACAACTAACTGTAAAGTCTTTTTAAAACTTTTATTAGCCACCGGTAATCATGCTTCAGACAAGCTTTATGACATGCGATATTATATTGTTGAGTAAATTGTATTGGAGGCAGTAGAATGGAGTGGCTAACAAGGCAATGGAGCTGGACTCTCTGAGTTTGAATCCTGATTCTATTACTTACTAGCTGTGTAACCTTGGGCAACTTACTTAATCCCTCCCTGCTTTAATTGCTTTATGTATGAAGTTGGGATAATAGCCATACTTTTTAGGAATATTAAGAGGATTAAATGAGTTGATAAATGCAAAGGCACTTAAAAATGTGCTGGGTACATAATAAGCATTATATAAGGATTAGCTATGATGGAGATGATAACGAAGAAGCAGCAGCAAATTCCATTTAACAAGTTCAGTAACATATTAAATTATTACATACTAAAAGTTTTAGAAAAAAAAAAAGTTTTAGGGCCTGCTGAATGGTGCATTGGTTAAGAACTGGCTTGGGATGCCAGAGGGCCCCGGTTCAGATCCCACATATGAGGGCCAGTGACACTGCCCTCTACAGCTAAGATGCTGAACAACAGCTCAACCTGGAGCTGGGCTGCCGTGAGTCGCTGGCGACGGCGTAGGCTGCAGCCCCTGTGGCAGTGGGTTGCCATGGGCTACCGTGTGTAGCCAGCAGCCAGCGTGAGCGGCCAGCAGCCGCAGTGAGCGGCCGTCCAGAAGCTGGCGACTGATCTGCCTCGCCCGGGAAGAGTGCAATGATGGTGCCAACTTGGGCCAGTGAAGCAACGTCCTCCACAACTAGACTGAAGAACAAAACGACAGCAACTTGTCTGTGCCTGTCCCCCAATTCCCCAATAATGTTCCTGCCCCCAATTCCCCAATAAAAATCTTTAAAAAAAAAAAAAGTTTTAACTTACTCTTACATTTTAAAGCAAAACTTTGATCAGAAGATTAATTATATAATTATTAAATCTACTTTAATAAAGAAAAAAAGTGTTTTGTATAAAGTTTTAAAAATGAAGAAAATAAGATGGGTTTTTAACCCAAATACCCTGGGTTTACATTCTGACGTATCAGTTCAGATGCTTTTCATATGCATATCTCCTCCCCGCCAAAATTGGATCTCACTGAGATACTGTTTTATCATTTGCTTCTTTGTCAATCATACACATTCCTTTCCATGCCATAAATATTCTTTAACAACTTCATTTTTAATGACTGCATGATTATCCTTTGTATTGTTGTAATAAATTCTATTTAACAGGTTTACTATTGTTGGAAATTTAACTTGTTTCCACTTTTTTTGGGGGGGCTATCATAATCAGTGAAGCAGTACACATCATCATAATTATATTATTGCATTATCTCTATGAGTGTTTCCTTAAGAGAAATTCTCAGGAGTAGAATTGCTGGGACAAAGGCTTTAAAGAATCCTGTTGTGTAAAATTTGCCTTCCACAAAGTTTATACCAGCTTCCACAATACTAGTCTGAGATTGCCAGAGTCCTTATACCCCTAAAGATACCAACACTGGATTTTGTATTTAAAAGTTGCCTTTGCCAATTTGATAGGTGGAAATGGTGTCTCTTTTTAATTTGTATGCCATATGTTTTTTTTTTTAACTACATAGAGTCCATTTGTTTCTTATACATTAAATACTTTAGCATAGTCAACTGGCCTGAGAATCCAATTTAGGATAAACTTTCAATGCCAGCTTTCATCTTGCCAGACCCTGTAAACAGATGTGTCATTATTTAATACCAGAGCCTCTGTCTTCTGAAATGATATTAAAAGACTATCTTTTTTTTTTTTAAGAGTCAAACTTGCCTGTGGTGTGAATTTTCCTCTTTTGATGTCTTTTTCCTAGGTCTTTAGCCAAGGCATAGTTGAAAGGAGAGGCTTTTTTTACTACGTTTTTATTCCTTACATGGGCATCTAATATTTTAGATGATGGACAAACAAATGAACAAACATGCATTTAGAACCCCCTATAACTTACCTGCTGCATGGAAAGGCAACATATTTTGATCCAAGTGAGAAAAACCCATTTCTAGTCGTGCAATGGTTTTACCATTTGCTTGTTTTATCACCTTCGCAAGTCTTAATATCCCTGTGCCTCAGTTTACAATGTCTTTAATATAAATGCCCTTTCTTCCTTCTCACTGCCATGATCTTACTTCACTCCTTTTCACACCATGCCTAAACTGTTGTAAATTCTGCCTCACGGCCAACCTGACTGCCCCTTCTTCAGTCTGTCCCTAACTCCCATCTGATTAATCATCAGCCATCCTGCAGCACCATATAGCATACCAGTCCTCTTTTGGGTAGATCTTTAACAGTCCATTTAGTGTATAGGGTAAACCCAGCTCCCTTACCTTTCCAATTTCCCACCTCTCAGCCTTTGTTTATAACATTTTCTTATCCAGTAATGAGCCAGTTTTGTCCATAAAAACTGGATTTCATTCCCCCTTACTCACTGTCTCCCCATTGGCCTTTATTTTGTTTGTTTTTTTTGTCTTTTTAACTGATGGCACTGGCTAACTGTACAGTGGTTTTCAGCACAGGTCTGATGAAGCCTGCGGATCTGTGGTAATGCCTCAGGCACACTGCCGGAGTGCAAGTGAGAATCCTAGGGCTCTGTTCCCTCCTTCACCCAGTCTCCCCTCTACCTTTTCTGATGTATATGTAGAGGTTTTGTTTAAAATTGCCTTTGAAAATTTTCTTCTTTCGACAATATCTTAGGGACTGTATTATTATTTTGTTTTATTAAATTATTTTTTATTATGAAATACACATTTTTTAGAATTAGTTCAGCTGTACAACACAGTGCAATAGTTATACTTTTTACCCCTCGAAGTGACAACTCCCCTCCCCCAATCCGCCACCCCACTTCCCCCCCATATCATTCATATCTATTACAAATCCCTTGACTCCACTCCCACACTGTACTCCACGTCCCATGACTATATATATAGATATATATATATACATATATATATATATTCACTTGTAGTTGACATTATTATTATTTTTTCTTCAAGCATGTGTATTTTTTTTCTCAGTTAGGTTTTATGTTACTTGAAGAGAAGGACCATATCTTAACTTCTTTGTCTTTCCCTCGCTCTTGTTCAAGAAATATGTATTGCTAACCTTATGAATTAATATTTGTTCTGCCTAATTTACAGGATATTGTGAGACTAAAATGAGAAAAGATGCTTTGAAAAGTGATGTCGAATTATAAACGTTACTTCCTTTATAGTATTACATGGATTCAGAATTTGGTAGAAGCGAAAACTTTTTCCACATTTGAATTTATTTCATTCAGCAAACAGTTGAGCAATTACTAAGGACTAAAAAAGTCTGCTCACACAGACTACTAGAAATAAAAACATGTAAAGACAAATTTATATTATGAAAGAAGTACGGTCGTAGAACTGTGTCCAAACATATCTAGAACAAAGAAGGTACTAAGCTGTGCTTAGGTGAGTCAGGTTGGGCTTTCCCTCTAAGTGGTATCTTAACAGGTGGAAGTTGCAAGGTGAGCAAGGCAAAGACGTATCTTCTAGGGCTAGGCAAAGGGAATAGAATATAAAAGGCTCAAAAGCATGAAACAAGATCTTGGAAACGGTTACTTGGTCTAGTGGCAGATCTGTGCTGCTCAATATGGTAGCCAGTGGCCATTCATAGCTACTTAAATTTAAATTAATTGAAAACAAAAATGCAGTTCTTAGTCATACTAGCCACATTTCAAGAGCACATTAGGTGTATTTGCTAATGGTCAGCATATTAGATAGCACAGCTGCAGAGCATTCCATCATCAAAGAACATTCTACTGGACAGTGCTGAGCTAGATTATAGAGACCTTGCCCACATAATGAAGGAGTTGGGCTTTCATCCTGCAGCAGTTGTGAGCCTGTGAAGAGTCTTACGTAGGGGAGTAATGTGATCAGATTTGCATTTTTTAAAAGATTTTCAGATTTTCAAGTATCTGATCTCTAATACATAGGAGTGTTTGAATAAACATTTTTTACCTACCACATAGCTTTTGCTGACAAAGTATAATTAGAAGGGACTTAGATAACCTGTGCCCCTATAGTTATTACAGTGGAGAATAAAATAGGGAAAGGATTTAAACACCCTTTTAAGACTTCTAACTCAACTGGAGAACTCTCTTGGAAATTTATTGTTATTCTTTATATTAGTCTGAAAAAAATGTTTCTTTTTTCTTTTAGTGAACTTGCTGGATAATAAATATTAGTGATAATGTTATGTGGTAAAATTTTTCAAAAACTATTACTCAAGATATTTATAACCTTATTTTGTTATAGGATTTGCCATTATGTTTTGAAAGCTAAGACCTGCCATGACTTGATAATAACTTGACTAAAACAAGATGTTTTTCTTTTTTTAAATATTTTATTGGGGAATTGGGGGAGGGGAACAGACAAGTTGCTGTCCTTTTTGTTCTTCAGTCTAGTTGTGGAGGACGTTGCTTCACTGGCCCATGTTGGTATTATCATTGCGCTCTTCCTGGGTGAGGCAGATGGGTCGCCGGCCTCTGGACGGCCACTCACGGTGGCTCTTGGCAGCTCAAACTGGCTGCCAGCCGCTCACGCTGGCTGCCGGCCACACACGGTAGCTTATGGCAGCCCACTGCAGCTTCACTGCAGCCTATGCTGTCGCCCGCAGCTCACGGCAGCTCAGCTCCAGGTCGAGCTGTTGTTCACCATTTTAGCTGTAGAGGGCAGTGTCACTGGCCCTCATGTGAGATCCGAACCGGGGCCCTGCTGCTCAGAGCCGGCATCCCAAGCCAGCTCTTAACCAACATGCCACTCGGCCCGCCCCTAAAACAAGATGTTAAATAGAATTGTCATAGATTTATTAATCAAAGTAATTTAATTAGATTTGCCAGCAAAATTAAAATGTTGCTTTTAATAATATTTATTAAATTTTCATGCACATTTGCTAATTTGGGCTTTTTCTTGCAGTTAATCCTGTAATCACTCCAGTTGCACGTCCCACACCAGCTCTTTCTCCAAGCTTAATAGCTGATCTTGAAGGTTTAAACTTGTCATCTTCTTCATCAGTTATCAACGTAAGTAATTTTCAAAATACATTAGCTGAGTTTTCAAATGATGCCATTGCATCATTTTTATTAAAATACCAAGAATTGAAGTAGATTCTTAGTCTTGACAGTGCCTTCTTTAACAAGTTCAATTCATATTTAACCTTTAAACTTTGTAAATATTTTTAAATTTACTCTACCCAAACCATTATCATCTCAATTTACTTCTGCTTGTTATCCACATTTAATTATCATGTGAACATTTTTCTCTAGTACCTGCTATACATCTGTAATATATAAGGGTTCTTTGCCACCTTGAGTTAGTTTATATACATAAATTCTGCCATAAAGAATTATTGTCTACATTAACAGACTTTCATTCCCATAATCATTCTTTTTCTACCATGCTGTTTTTTTACTGTAGGCTGCTAAAAATACCTGACTGTTTTCATTTTAAAATTCAAGATTGTATTTCTCTTCATGTTACCTTCATACATTTATTTACATTCCTTGGTGTCTCTAAAAAAATTATTTAATGTTATTTATGGGGTGTGACTTGGAGGGATGCTAGAGGCTTGCCTATCTCAAAATAATGCCAAAACCATCAGCCTGTCATAGTGTCTGAAACTGCAATAACGTTTTCTATGTCAGCATATCACATCCACAAACCTTTCACTCTAAATCAAGCATGCTGCCTGGGATATGTAATCTGTTGATATGCTTGACCTCCTGTTAATTTGTGTTAGAAATCTGACAAACTAAGAGATAGAGCAGTAAGTTCTGATGGGAGCACAGGTAGCCGGAGTAGATCTGGTGTGTCCCTGGTTCCCATGGGATGACAGGGCACATAACTGGTGATCTCAGCTGCCGGGGAACCTACAGCGGCTTCTGCGGGAGTGGGAAAAAAGAGTACCTAGTTCTTGTAGATTATCACCCAAACTCCCCCGCCTCAAAGCAAATGTGACACCAAGGCCTTGGAATGAAATGCTCAAAAGCGCTTCATACATTTCTGCTCAGCTTTGGTCAGCTCACTTAGACAGTAGAGGTGAAAACTATTAACGCTTATAATGTTGTTTTTAAATTGTAGGATGCAATTATCTTTTAACCCCTCAGAAAAGAATATTGGGGATGTCAGTTTGTCCTCGTTGCTATTATAAAAGGAAAAGGCACATTACAAGAGATGGGTCAGTGGAACTGTAACAGCTATATACAGTGTCAGTGGGGTAGTAAGTTGGAGGAGGGGAGTTCTCATTTTGTGAGGGGCATAAATGTCTAACTATTACATTGTTTTGCTCACCTGAAACTAATAAAAACAATTTTTGAAGTGAAAAAAAAAAAGATGGGGGGAAGCAGTTAAGTCATTTATTTAACTAGTAAGTATTTATTGAGCATTTGTGATAGGCTTTAAAGAGGACGTGCTAATCAAAAATCTGGGGCCGGCTGAGTGGCTCAGTTGGTTAAGAGCTCGCTCAAGAGTTTGAGCTCTGAGCAACAGCGGTTCGAGTCCCAGCCCGAGCTGAGCAGCCACTGAGCTGCCAACAGGTGGCAGGATGGCTCAGCTAAAAGAAGAAAGAAAAGAAAAACAGAAACCATACAAAAATCTGTAGTGAAGGAGTTAGTCCTTGAGGGAAAAGAAAGCCCCTAAAATACTTGGGAGGCAGTAAGGTAGTGGATAAATACCCTGGGCTCTGATACCAGGTGACCAGGGTGCAAATCCTCACTTTGCCACTTACTAGTTGTGTGACCTTGGACAAATTGGTGGGTGACTTTTCTGCACTTCAGTTTCCTATGAAGATAATATCTCCCAATTCTCCAATAAAAATCTTAAAAAAAAAAAACTTGCAAGAAAATTCCTTTGTACTTGTATGTAAAGTGTTCTAGGATCAGGTAATTTTAAACAAGTCTTCACCTCATGAATGTCCAACAAGCCAATTGAAAGTTGTGAGGAACATAGTATCATTTTTATTGTGTGTGAATCTGCCCTGTTCGTTGCAGGGCATCTATCATCCCTTGCCTTCGTTCCTTAAAGCTAGTAGCCTCCTTTACTGTCCCTTCCCCCAATCATGTGCCAACTGCAAACATTCAAAGCAGTGTAATGTAGCAGTTAAAAGCACAGCCTCTTGAACCAGATTGATTGAGTTCAAATCAGAGTTCTGCCACTTTACAAAATGAGTGACCTTAGACAAGTCAATTTGCCTTTTGGTGCCTCATATTTTTTCCACCTATAAAAAAAAGATAACACTGCTACCTATCTCATTGGGTTGTTGCTTGTATTTAATGACTTCACATATATGAAATGCTTATAACTGTGCCTGATGCGTATCAAACACTAAGTATTTCCTATTATTTGTTGTTGTTACATTATTACAACTTAGTAAAGGAAAGAAATTCTAATCCAAGGAAATTTTTATCCTTCTTTATAAAGGCTACACATAGATACTTTCTGTGAAACATGAAAATAACTAAGTTCATCTTTAAAGATGAAATGGGGTGGGGACATTACTCATTCAAATCAATTAAAGGATGATTCAGAATAATAGAATCAATATCAATGGAAATAATAGTCACAGAGTTAAGTGTAAATGATAAAAATAAGAAACCAAACCTAATAGGTAGGGAGAGGAAAGGATGAAGGGATTCATGTTAATCATTTCACTTTTCATTAGTAGGAAACGAATCAATAATATGCAAAATTGAAACAGCCTTTGTTTTTGTTTTTAATGAGATTGAAATCTCTTAATGGATTGTGTATGCTCAGAGAACATTTATCTGAAGTTTTGGAGCTTTGTTTTTTTGGGTTTTTTAAAATTTCTTTTTGTTCAATTAAAGTAAGATTATAATCCCATTCAGTATGATAACTGTCTGTTTCTCTGTATATCTGACCATCCATGCTACAGAGATGTTAACCATGGTTAACCGTAATTATTTTAAGTGATATGATTTTTGGATGATTTGTTGCTTTCTTTTCTGTAATATTTAACTGTTTTCTAATAAATACTAATTAACTTTTAAAACAAAAATTATTAATATAAAAAATTGGCAGATGTTCAAAAACAGGCAAAATTATGTAATTAGATGTCAGAAGAGTGATTGCCCTTAGGAAAATTAATTATTGGCAGGGAACACAAGAGGAACTTCCGGAATGCCGGTAGTGTTAGGTTTTTTCATCTAAATGCTTGTACATGGGTGTACTCAGTTTATGAAAAAAGTCACTGAGTTTTGTGCTTAAGATATATTTACTTTTCTGTATGTGTATTGTACTTCAATAAAACTTGTTTAAATTTGTTGGGGTGACAATGGCTAGTAAAATTACATGGGTTTCAAGTGTATAATTCTGTAATACATTATCTATATATCACATTGTGTGTTTACCACCCAGAGTCAGTTCTTCTTCTATCACCACATATTCTACCCCGTTTACCCTCATCTGCCACACCCCTCTCCCCTTACCCTGTGGTAACCACTAAGCTATTGTCTGTGTCTATGAGTTTTTGTTTCTTTGTTTGTCTTGTTCCTTTGTTGCTTTCAGTTTTATATCCCACATATCAGTGAAATCATATGGTTCTTGACTTTAATGAGATGAGAAAATAGTATATAATATAAAGTGATAATACAAAATATGTATATTATCTCAGTTTTGTAAAATTGTACATTCATACTTTTTTTAAATATAGGGTAAGTTAAAGAATTGAAGAAAATGCAGTGTAATGTTTTCAGAGGTTTTCTGAATGATTTGTATTTTTCTTTATGTTTTTCAGTACTTTCCAGAATTTCTTTAATCAAGGTATAATACATCTGTTGTCCAAAAAGCAATTATTTTTAATAGAAAGGGAAAACATGTATATGAATGCCTAACATTCCTTGTTATTGACAACTAATGTCTAAGTCTGTCTTTCTGAGTCACCACTAATTAGTTGGGTGATATTGAACAAGTGTTTTGGTTTTCTCAGCTCTAAAATGATGGCAAGGCATATCTCCTTGTTTCTTTCTAATGCTAATATTTTGGGAATCTGTGAACCTAAGATGGAATTTCAAAACAATGAAAATAGTTATGCTGGGATGATTTGAATAAGTTTATGAAAATAAATAGATGAAACATACACAGTACCATATTTGTTTGTCTTATGTGAGACTAATAGCAATTGACCAACAGATGGCTAAAAATGAAAAAACATTTTAGTTCCTGCTGTAGTATTTCATTGAACAAACTGAATTCTTTAGTGAATTGCTACTGAATTTTTTTTTTTTACTAGATTATTGTTAGGCTAAGAGTTTCTAAATTATCACACATCAAATCCCTGGAATACAGAAACAGCAATCCTCAGAATATTAGGCTTCTGGAGGGGATGAGAAAAGAGTAAAGGGGGGAAAAAAAGACAATTTGCATATAAGAAAAAATGTGAAGAATGATAAATTGTTCACCTCTGGTATTAGAAATGTTGGAGTGAAACTCCAGTCTTTTCTGCTTCAGATGACTTTTTGTATATTTAGGATACAAAAGTATTAAAGTAAATTCAGCAGTTAAAGTTACCTCCGAAAACTATTTGAATCTATTTTCTGATAAACATTAGCATGAAGTCTTGTCTCATTCTTTGTAGTTTTTTATGTTTCTTCTCAAACTAGTTATATAAGAAAGCTTATTCATTTGTTCACTTAATATCTAAGATAGATGTTTCTGTAGGAAAAAATGACTTACGAGTTCTGACCTTACAACATTGTAAGGTTTTGAAGGCAATCCCTCAAATTACAGATCCCCATAATGAAAGTATAGTACCTGTGGCTCTTTAGCACCTAACCATAGGTCAGAAGGTTTCTGTAGGAATATACTTTCAGAGTTCCCACTTAAAATACCAAGAATTCATTTAGAAAGGCAGAGCAACATTTAGGAAATGCATTAAATTTGGAGTCCTAAGACCTGATTTCTACCCTTGGCTGAGTTACTTATTATCATCATGACTATGGGCAATTCTTTGACTTGCGTAAACTTCAGATTTTGAATTTATAAATGGAGATAATATTTTCTCTAAATA